TGCCAAATTTAGGCTATTATAGCCGTTCCGAAATTGAAAATTCATTTACACTAATATAAACTAGATCCATGTGTGCATTTGTATGTGTCTATATGTGTGTGTGTATATATGTGTTTGTGTATAATTTTCATGCAATGATCTTAAAGCTTTGGAGACAAGGGTTATTAGCCTAATTCCAAGGCTTGTCCACATAGCAATATTGACATGCACCAACTCTGCTAAAGGGCAGGAAAATGAAAAAGACCATGGCACAGATTTTTAAACAATTTTAGGTTTAATTACATAATGCACCTGTAGATGTTCTAGCATAAACACAATTGTAAAAATCTACATCCTATTTTAGGGTATTTTTCCACCTCCCAACCCTTAAAAGCTGTACAGTTATATAAAAAATGTGACTCTCAAGCAAAATAAACCTTTTTTTTTTTTTTTGCAACATACAAAATAAGTTAAATGATTCAGAAGGTCTTGAGCCATTAAGTATCCCAATGACTGTGTTCTGGCCATCCATAAGCATGACATGCAGCTCCTGGTCTATGACCAGAACTCAATAAATACAGGTCAAACAAAACCCCAAACACTTAAATTAGATTTCTTTAGAAAGTGATGAAAGTCAAGAAAATATATAATTAGGGTTAACAATTCCATTCTTAACTTACATCATCCAGTGGCAAAATGAACAAGGCAGGTCACTCAGTCCTTAGTGCATTTACTAGCTTGTACCGGTTTGGCAAAAAACACAAATGTAGTTCCTTTAAATGTTTTTTCTCATTCAAAATGTATGGTGACTAACATAACATAATAAAATTAAAAAAAATGTCTAAGGAGCTTAATTAATAAATTTCTATTCATCTAATAATTTGTTATGCCCTCTCATATAACTTATGCATAGGATATATCTTAAAAAGTTATTAAAATAAAAATAACATTTTCATTAACTGAAATCACAATGTGCCAGAATTGGGTTTGCAGCATTTCCCAGAATGAAATCATATAAATATAAAATGGAAAAAAAAATTGCGCTCACATGACCAAAATCAGGGGAAAAAAATTAACTAATGGAGTCCTATTCTAATCAATTTCTGAGAGGGTTTATATGAATAAAAGAAGTATTGAGTGGATAATCTAAAGTGGTTATATACCAAGCACACTACAGTTTGGCTTATGAAGACTGCTTGCTTGCTGGGGAATGACTCTTCTTCAATGTATGTTACATAGTTACTTAACAATTCTTGGCACTCAAAAAATGATAAATGATAATTTAAGTTGAAGTGAAATATCTTGAAAACAAATTATTAAGTGTACACATAACACAATAACCCAGTTTAAATACACTGATAGCAAAGGGCCTTGTCTTCTGGGATTGGTATAAAAATAAGAAAATCAGCAGCTGAACTGCCACTTGCAAAGTAGGTTTACAGGTACACACTGGGAATGGTGGATAAAATAGGAATGGATTTTATTCTAAGAGGGTTTAATAACAATATTAAGCAAAGGACTAGGTAGATTGTAGCGGATAAGCAGTCTTGGCATTCTTACTTCTTAGAGAACCAGGAATATTTTCTTAGAATATCACACCAAGAAGAGGAACTTCACTATTTTTCTCTGGACTTTCTGTAATTAAATGTTCATAAATTCACATCAGTCACAATTATTTGTCTTATGTCTTTTTACAATGTCAATTAATGATTTCAAAGGATTCATTTTTAATTTCTGCTAACATCTAAAGTATGTATACACATATTAACATATATATACATACATATATGTATGTTCTATTTTTTAAAAAAGATCTGGGTCTTTGAATACTTGTTCTATAGCTGTGAGGCAATCACGGACCTGTTTCACTGTGTTGGTGAAGGGCAGAGTTCACAATTTTTTCTGAATATTCAACTTACAGATTCCCTGGGTTCCTTCCAGTCATATGGTAGAACTAGCGCATGGTTAACGTCTCTCATCCCCACATACATAAGCTAAAAAGGCATTCTTTGTGACAAAGTAAATTCCATCAATCCCATTTAAAAACTGGTAACATTTTCTCACCATTTAACCTCTAAACAAGTACACTCCTACATTTTTCTTAGTATATATCCTTTGCTCAGATGCATACTATGGGATGGGCTCTATCAACCAAAAAGTGAAAACTGGAGTTTGTAATATCCTTTTAAAATTTGTTTAAAAATGTTTTCATCAACAACTTTTTTTAGCATTCAGTCCTTGGTTCTTTGGCAGGTCATAAAAAAAAAAGACTATCAGTAGACATGAATTTATTCTGAAGGAAACTCCTCTTTATTCTCTGCATCTGCAACCTTGACCAACTGGAAAAAGATGTGTCAAGGAAATCCAACCTCAATATATCAGGTAAACTCTTGAAAAGCTCTCTGCCATCATTCTCTAATAACGTGCCAACAACGGAAAATGTTTTACACGACACCCTATTTCATCGACACAAGTCTACAAAACCAAAATGTGTATTTTCAGTCTGAGTTCCTTTCATATATTTTAATTCAAAGCTTCTGCTTTGTGAACATTTGGCTAGTTTTCAAACTTATACAGAAATTGCGAACTAAATATTCTGTGCACTAAACTACATCTCCCCTTAATACATGTGCTAGACTGTGGAGTGGGACACTGGGAGTCCACCTGTATTTCAAAAAAGGTTTAAAGTATTAAAGAACTCTATTATATGGCAGCTACGGAGGTATCTAAATCCATCGTTAGTACTCTAAGGATCCAAGATGTTCTAAACTCTAGATGAGCTGCTGCTTTCCTATACTCTGTCCAATTCCTAATGACTGAATTGTATCTTTGGATACAGGACAATTTACTTTTTCCTACATTTTTTAAAATTTCTTCAAAGCATGTTCAGTTAATATTTCAGTGAACGTTAAGACTTTATGAGGGACTAAATCTAATCACCAAGCAGCAGAATTGGTTTTGCAATGTCCAACATTTAACTGCCCATAATTAACCTGTCTGCAAAGTAATTTGTAAGTTCAGCTGCTTGGACTGCACTCTTTGTAGATGAAACGGTTAATTGGCTTAATCAGAATGTAAGGTTAGAAGGCAGACATTCACTATCAAGTTCACAAATACTTAATTCAAGTTCGGTAAATTAATAGGCAGCAAAAGTGGTATCAAAACCCATGTCAGTGGGACCTATGCTAACTTGAATACTCAGTCTCTACTACGATAACAATGACCTTTTGCTCTCTGTAGAAGGGTAAAAAGAACTCCCTTTATTTCACATTAGGCGTCCTGTAAAATAAATAACCTACCCCAATGGATACTTTTTATCACTTGCTTAACTATAGAGTGGTGGAAGCAGGAGCTGGTGTGTCCAGAGGTAGAGACAGCGTACGTGGGAGCTTCTACACCGTAGTGGCTTTACCCAGCTGCAAGACTAAAATCTAGAGGAACAATGGGGGGCAGGGGAGGCTGCCCGCACATTCTCAACACTTACCTTGCACTAGTAGGAATCCTTCTATTGCCTGCCTGTTAGACAGTTAAAAAGGCTAGCTAACATTCTTACCTGACTTTCAAACAAATGAACAAACCTGGCTAGAAAGAAGGCTTGGTACGTGAATATGGTCCTTACGTAACCCTGCTCTACTGTCTGTAAGTGTAAGCCCTTCCCTCCCTTCCAGTGGAACATTGTCTCAAAATAAAAATCACAACTTGCTTGGAACCACATGCTATTGGTGCATCCTATTTTTAGGCTGCTTTCATTATTTTATTTTTTATACAGATACATATACATTGCTAGAATCAAAGCAAAAATATTAATGGGCAGGTACTACACAACTAAAGTGAAACAAAACAAAACAAACAAAAGAACAAACAAATGAAAAACAACAGCTATAAACTTTCAAGGCCAAAAGATAAGATTTAAGGGCAACACCCGTTGAGGAAGGAAAAGAAAGAGTATAAAGTTTCTAGAGAGGTATTTATAATGCAAGTCTAATGCCAGCTTTTTAATCATAAAAAAGAGAAGTGCTTTACTATACACTGACTAGCACATATAATGCTTAATTTGGAAAGAAAAATTAACAAAGTTCCTTGGGCCAGCAGCAGATATGGTGTGTCCATTGCCGGCAACAGACACAACACCGGAACAGAAAAACCCAAATCCCAGGGCAAAAGTATTCACAGAAGTAATGGCTGAAGGTTTCAGAACTTGACAGGCAAGGTTTAACCACAAGTGCTACACTTTATACAATGTTATTTATGGCTCTGCCTGAAATTTTACAGCTGTAACAATAACTAAATAAGACAAAGTTCATATTTTAGTGTCAATTACATGTTAGATATTTAGTTATAAACCCCTTTTTCTTGAAACAAAGGGCTTATCTTTCATTAAAGTGTTGAGATGTTTGAAATGGATGTCATGCCCATTAAGTATATTGGCGGTTCTCAATCAACTCTAGGTCGGTCGTGTGACTATTAATGAATTTTAATAGAAGTCTAATGGCCAAAGGCCAAAACTACATTCAAACCCTGCTAATATATCCAGGCAGATAGGAAATTCCAACGCACACACATACACACACACGTATACACACACATACATGCTAAAACTCAAACTAAAAACCTCCCAAAGGAACTGCTTTGTTTGTAGACTTCAATTTGAAGTAGATTCTAAGGGCAAGAATAGACCAGTTAAAATTCACCTGAAAATCCTTTCCCCGTCATCAAATGTGCTAAAATACTGCTGTCAGCTTAGCATCTCTTCATGTATGTTATGTATAGATGTTATTCTTTCAAAATGGGATATTTCAGATATTTAAATATTAAGTGGCCAGAAGACAAGAGTTACACTATCTGCAAAGGTTTACAGTCCACCTGGGCCTAAAGAAAGACCATGCTTATTTCACTAATAACTCTCACTGATAGGATATTAGAGGCCACCTCATCACCACTGCATAAAGCTGCTTAAAAAAATTTGCTGCTAGCACAATCTGGTTGTCAAAGCTTCATTATACATTTTACTGTACAAATGTTTTTCAGATGATTTTTTTTTTTAAACAAGAAACTCCGCTATAACAGAAACTCAGGTTAGAGTTTTTAATGATGGTGCTTTCTCCATCTCTTCTTTATTAAGTGTGGTTATCTCCAATAGTAAACAAGTTGATAGCATGAATGCTGTTACTGAATGACTTACGTATGATGTTATCTACAGTTCTCAAACTGCAACAATACAGACTGGAACTTTTAAACAGTCTGTTCATCATCATCTATGCCATGAATGTTTAAATATAATATATATTTAATATGAAAAAGCTAAAGCACAAGTGCTTTCTCCCACCCCTAATTCTGTTTTGGGCCCTCACAGATTCGGAATGCATTCTTATCCACCCTTTTGCACAAAGTCAGGAGAGCTCAGGAAATATAAAGTCAAAAATATACAAATCTTTGTTGTTCTTATAATAAGATTTTTTTCCATGAATGAAATTACCAAGGACCATGAACTTGGAAAAAGAAAATCAAAAGGAATTTACAGCAATTATTTATCTTCAAAGTTCAAAACTGGTCACTTCACAGAAAGACTTCAGGGTTTGTTGAAATTTTTCTTCTAAAAAGTCATTCTGTAGTGGAGTTTTCTAGGAAAAATAAAACAGCTTTTAATAACTGGCCCGCTGGTGTGAGAGCTACCGTGGAATAAATTAGCACAAAAATGGAAAAAAAGTCTTATAACTGTTCACTGTTACAGACGTAATCAACAAGGTCAGTCACTCGTAAAAGCTCATCTTCCTCCTCTTCTGGCGCCCCTGCCTCCTGCCCACCATTTGTCCCATTGGGGGCCAGGCTCGCACTGGCTGTGCTGCTGTCCTTGGGGGTCTGAGGCTTCTCAGCTGGCTTGCCAATCAAGTTCTCAATGGCTTTGCCAGGACTCTGTCCATTGGTGGAAGGCAAGTCCACTAAGCTATAGTCCAAAGGGCTCCCCACCTTGCCTACATTTTCAAAGTCCTCTTCCTCATCGCTGTCTATCCGATAGGGCTTCTTGGTGCTCTCCTGTTCTGAGGGCAGGACCCTGGGCTGGCTGTCATGGGCAGGCTGATCTGCATCTCCATGAGCATTGTCACAACTCTCCTCCTCATCTGTCTCAATCCGGTGTAGCCGTTTTCGAGATGGTCTGCCTTCTTCTTCCTCATCTGCTTCTGAATACTCATCTGTGCTTCGACCCCGCTTTCGAACTGACCGCTTTGATTCTTTAGCTAGCTCATCATCTTCAGAGTTCTTGGACATATAGCTCTCTAGAATAAACAGCACATTTCAGCCATCGATACAGTTAACCATAACAGATTTAAGTAATTTTCCTTTTCCTCCCCATATTCACCCCATATCCTGCTTTTAGATTTGCCCGTGAATCCTGTTTCCCTCCAATAATTGGCCTGATTGCTCTCTCCTCTCAGGCCTGTAACAATCCACGGAAAGATCTATGGTGTGTTTTTTAACTAAGATTTTAGGAAAGAGCAAAATCACATTTCTTAGAAAACGAATATGATGATCCTTAAATTAAATGAAGATAGGGTGGTCGCAAACTGAGAAACTCCTATCCACTATCTCTCCAATTATGGAATCATGTACACATACTGATAAGGAATGATTAAACCGAGTACCCAACTCTGGGCATCTGAAACAGTGTGCTAACTCTTAACCCATGTTATTAAATGTCCTTCCTCGGTAGTCTTTAAACGTGTTCTTTTTGTCTGTATTTACATCTAGGCTGTCTCTCCTAATCTCATGGCTTTGCATCTATATGCCGATGACTCACATTTGTTTTAGGCCACCCCTAAATTCCAGACTCATGTATCAACAACCTGCCTATTCAACACCTATGCTGGGATTTCTAAACAGGCACTTCAAACCTAACACGTCCAGAACCGAGGTCCTACGCTTCTGCCTCAAACCTGCACTGCTCTGGTCTCGCCCATCTGAGTTACTAGCAACTCTATTGTTCTAATTCCTTAGTCATATTTTGATTGTTTTCTTTCTCCCATCTAACCAAACAGTAAATCCTCGGATTCTACCTTCAAGATAGAGCCATAATCTGACTGCTTTTCACCCCTTTACTACCACTGCCCTAGTCTCACCCCCCATCATTTCTCACCTGGCCTCTTTCAGTGGGTTCCCAACGGGTCTCCTAGACTCTGCCCTTGTCCCCTTAAATTTATTCATAACACGGCTACCATAGCAAATTAAAATGTAAGTCCGATCATATCACTGCTCTGCTCAAACTCCTCCAATTATTTCTCTTCTCACAAGGAATAAAATCCAAAGTTTATAACTCTACAATGGCCTACCACACTATCCCATATGGTAGCCACTAATCACGTGTGGCTATTTTTAAATTTATATGAATTAAAATTAAATAAAAATGAAAAATTCGGCTCCTCAGTCATACCAGTCACATTACAGGTGCTCAACAGTCCCATGAGAGGCTAGTGGCTACTATACTGAACAGCACAGATACGGCCTATTTCCATCACCAAAGAAAGTTGGACCAGACGGCACGGTTCATCAGGGGTTGGCAATTTGCTTGTTTGTTTTGTTTTTTTTTGTAAAAGGGCAGGCCCTACAGTCTCTAATACAACTACTCAGCTTTGCATAAAAGAAGCCACAGACAGTATGTGAGAAATAATGGGCGTAGCTGGTCCAATAAAACCTGATTACAAACAGGTGGGCTGTAGTTGCGGACTACTGCTCTTTGTGATGGGCCCCTGTTGATCTCTGCATCATCTCATGCAATTCTTCCCTCCACGCATTCTCCTTCAACCACCCCTGGCCTCCTCTCTGTTCCTGAACACACCAGGCACAAACCCGCCTCCAGGCCTTCATGTTAGTTGCTCCATCTGCCTGTATCACTCTTCCTTAAGACAAATGCATGACACACACCCAACATTATGTCAGGTCTTTACTCCAGCGCGGTCTTCTTAGTGAGGTGTTCCTGCGCTGCCCTAGCTGGGCTCCCAGCCACTATCCCTACCCACCTCCTCTTTCTCCTTTATTCTTCTCTACAGCATTTATCCCCACCTAATACCACACAGGTTCTACTTACTTGTTTATTATCTCTCCCTCTAATTAAAATAAGAGTTATACATGGGAGTTACATGTTTTTGGCTGTTTTATTTACTCTTTTAGTTGCAGTGCCAAAATAGTGACTAGTGAAATAAGTATTTGTTTTTAGTAGCCGAGTTACTGAATTTGTTTGTCTTTAATGACACATGAAGGTAAATACACAATCAGATGTTCATCTCCTTTCTTTAGCCTCCCATGTTCAGACATTTTTTTCCCTTTATTTCCTGGCTTGGGCTCAAACTTAACTGATAAGCATCTTAGAAATCTTTAAAACAGATCATAAATAATGGAGGATTATATAAGTCAAAAAAAAAAAAGGGGGCAGAGATGAGGGTTAGAATCATTTAAAAGAACAGGAATAACCACAAGACTAAATGGATATCACAAATTCATATTTTAGAGCTTTTCCTACACTCCTGGTACGGAGCACAGCTAAAACTATTATGAGATAAAAGTTACCAACTGAAGCTCACTGTCAAGGTGGAAAGGGACAGCAGGCCCCCGTATTTCAAACTAGTTATCCAGGGCATAAGTTATCTCAAAATGAGGGCCGTGAATAATAAGGGAGAAGAATTCTTGCTCAGATCTTAATTTTCCAAGACTTGTCTATTTCAATGAAGAGTTTAATTATTAACAATGGAGACATTAAAAATTAGTATCTTATCAAGTATCATTTATTTAAACTATAAAAAGGGATCAGGCAAAAAATAATGGATTTTGTCTCAAAGATATCACTGCTTACACTGAATTTCTATGAAATGGTACAGAACCACAATCTTGAGTTTACTTTATAGCTTCTATTTCTGCCTTGTCCAAACTTCTGTAAACTGGAGAGCTACTCCTTACCTTCACTCTCTGAGCTAGAAAGCCTGCGTTTGTGAACTCGTCTGATTTCTTTCCCACGTCGTAAACTCTTCTGGGAACCATCACTTTCGGAATCTTCTTTGTAGTTAATTTGTCTTTTCTGGTTCCTCCTTGACCGCCTCCGCCGAGTTTCTACAAAATCATCACTAAAATCATCGCTAAAATCACTTTCTGTTCAAGGAAAAAGAAATACAAAATTTAAGTCTATTAAAGAGAAATGTAATTAGCTTAGGTTATAAAAATGTAAAGCTCTTAATAAGTAGGGTTCAGTAATAACAATTTTTAAATTAATAATAATGGCTATAAATCTCTCTTTTTTAAGTAGGCTCCACACCCAAGATGGGGCTCAAACTCACAACCCCAAGACCGAGAGTCGCATGCTCTACTGACTGAGCCAGCCAAGCGCCACTATAAGTCTCATTTTCCTCTTAATAGTACGAGTAAATGCGTAGGGGTCTTTAATGCCAAAGCTCCCTAATGTTTCCTATTAGCAGCCAATGTCTGAAAATAAAAGATGTTTTAGGGGCACCTGCGTGGCTCAGTCGTTAAGCGTCTGCCTTCGGCTCAGGTCATGATCCCGGGGTCCTGGGATCGAGCCCCGTATCGGGCTCCCTGCTCAGCAGGAAGCCTGCTTCTCCCTCTCCCACTTCCCCTGCTTGTGTTCCCTCTCTCGCTCTCTGTCAAATAAATAAATAAAATCTTAAAAAAAAAAAAAGAAAGTAAAAGATGTTTTATACAATCTTTATCTCATTCAACCTAGAGCTACCCAGCCAGCTACATGGGCTGCTCTTCTTGGTTACTATTTGGTTACTATTCTGCCTCAAAATAATCTGCTGTTCCTATGTGTACAGAGGTATGGTACAGTTATAACTTCACAATGTACTGCACAGATTAAAATCTCTAATCCCAGAAAACTGATAAACCTGTTTCAAAGAAGTATAGAATTGGAGTTACATTTTTGGCTTTTTTCCATATGGAAATAAAATCTGCTAACTATAGCATACAGGGCTCCTTCAATTCTCAAAGTGTTGTTAAACAGCACTATCCATACCATGTCTGATTAGTAAACAAGAGACTATGACATTGTGTTAGAGCAGTTTTTCAGGAGTGCTAACAAATTCCACTGAATTATCACATCCAGCCTTATTGTCTAATGAATTTCAAACACTTCAAAATGGCTCACCAACAGTCTGAAGGAGTCCCTACTGGCCAAATCTGGGAAAAACTGAGCCTACACAGCAATGATAACATATTATGTCCATAGACTAAAATAAGAATCCACAAGTACATACTGATATAAAGAAATAAATATATGGGGGAGACGGGAAGGCGCTTTCTTAAGGAACACCAAATAATAAATATAAAAGGAATTATGGGGCCAGGAAATCATCAATGAATGCTAAAACTATGGGTGAAACATCTGAAAAGAAATGGTATATATATAGTCTCAAAATGCCCTCCTATAAATTACTGTTAATTATAAAGGAAAAATAGTGGGAGACCTGGAGAACATATATTAGCTCTGTGATATTCCAGCTGAAAAATGTATAAACTGAATCTAATCGCAGGAAGCAAAAAAAACCCTGACTGAGGGACTTGTATATTCTTCAAAAATGTCAGGATCAATAAAGACAGTTTGAGGAATATTGCAGATTAAAGGAGACTAGAGACATGAATAAATGCAATGTGTACTCCTGGATTAAATCCTGGACTAGGAAAAAAACTGATATAAAGGACAATTTTGGGACACCTGATGAAATATGAATATATACTGTTAATTAGATAAATGCTGTATATCAATGTTTTATTTATCTATTTAAAGAAAGATTTTACTTATTTATTTGAGACAGAGAGAGAGCACGAGCAGGGGGAGAGGGAGGGGCAGAAGGAGAGGGAGAAGCAGACTCCCCTGCCGAGCAGGGAGCCCAATACGGGACTTGATCCCAGGACGCTGGGATCATGACCTGAGCCAAAGGCAGATGCTTAACCGACTGAGCCACCCAGACACCCCTCAATGTTTTAAAATATCTGATTTTGATAATTCTACTATGGTTATATGATATATGAAACAAAAAACCCACAAGCCCAGCCAGGTGGAGGATGTAATACTCCTTCCTGGCTGTGACATTTCCTCAGTGAGAGGACAGCTACCTATCTGCCAATTCTACAAAGTACTCCTAGCTGTTCTTTTAGATGCTGTGCCTGTCACTATTTATTCAGTTAATAGAAATAAGCATAAAATATAAGAACATCAATTACTGCTAATTTACAAAAATGAATGAATCACTCACATAGTGATCTAAGTGTTAGAAATAATTGGTGAACCTTCTCTTTCCAACTGCTAGATATCTGAGAAAAATGTTCTCAGCTTACTGAGAATGATTCCAAAGAAACTATGAAGATAAAGTCTAGGCATGGAAACTTGGCACCAAAAGAATTCATCACAGGGGTGCCTGGGTGGCTCAGTTGGTTAGGTGTCTGCCTTCGGCTCAGGTCATGATCTCGGGGTCCTGGAATTGAGGCCCGCATCGGGCTCTCTGCTCAGTGGGGAGCCTGCTTCCCCCCCTCTCTCTGCCTGCCGCTCTGCCTACTTGTGATCTCCGTCGGAAGGAGGGAAGGAAGGAAGGAAGGAAGGAAAGAATTAATTCATCACAATCCTAAATGAATTTGGTATGCAGTTAACACATCCATCTGTATTTATTTTCTTAGATATGTTTTATGTGAAAAACTTAGTTACTAGTGAGTCATAAGAAGAGAATTCAAAGTTTTATTGGAAAGCTTATATCACAAATGAATGAAATTTTATCTTAAGAACTCTTAACTCCAGGGGCGCCTGGGTGGCTCAGTTAAAAGCACCTGCCTTTGGCTCAGGTCATGATCCCAGGGTCCTGGGATCGAGCCCCACATCAGGCTCCCTGCTCAGCGGGAAGCCTGCTTCTCCCTCTCCCACTCCCCCTGCTTGTGTTCCTGCTCTCGCTGTGTCTCTCCCTGTCAAATAAATAAAATCTTTTAAAAAAAAAACACAAAAAACAAAAACCTCTTAACTCCAGAAGTTCTAAGAATTGAATTGGTGTGATACAGGTACAAATTATTTTTACCAGAGTCTCTACTATTCTCCTCAGACTCCTCCTCTTCATCATCATCAGAGTACTTTTTCTTTGGGGTCTTTCTCCGCAAACGCCTGCTTTGCCTCATTGGCCGGGAGGGATGTCGCCTCAGTCTCCGGCTACAGAAATCAGTGTCGCTGTCATCATTAGATGGTGGGTCTTCTTCACTTTCATCTGGGTTTTCATCAGATACAACAAACTCATCTTGAGATCTGTCCAAGAGAAACCAGATGAAGTATGATTCTGAGTTCAAATTCTAACAAGTCCAATGAATCATTCAGTAATGGTTAATGTAAAATACCTAGATAATTGTAGCAATTTGTCTGTTAATAAAATGGAGAAAAGTTTTGCTATCTATTCTTCTCTTAGGAGGAGTTAAGATGAACTGATGCTGATTTTTGTACATAAATTGCTTTGGCGTCTTGGGACGTCCCCCACATGACTTAAATTTAACACGTCCCAAAGAGAACTCATTTTCTAACCTAATCCTCTCTTCTGTCTCTGAGCCTTATATTTGGAACTATTACCTACCCAGTAAATCAAACCAGAAACCTGGTATTTTTCCTCATTTCTCCCTTTTCATTTCTCACATCTAATCAATTATTAGCTTCCTCTCTGAGTCAACCTCTTAAAGATAATATCTCAAACCTGATCCGTCTTCTCTGTCGGGCACTCATCTCCCACCTAAACCACCACAGCAATTGCCCAGGGAGTCCCTCTAGTCTCTAGACTCATTTCCCCTCCAGAGAGCCTCCAAAAGAATGCCAGGATGAATTTTTCTGTAACATAAACCTCATTAGCCGGATGGTTAAAACCCATCCATGGGCTTTCATCATCTTCAGGGTAAGATTCCAAATTCCCATGCATGACAAACAAATCGCTCCATCATCTGGTTCCGTTTTATCTTTTAGCCACATCTCCAGCTGGGCACTCTTTACTTCTTCCCCATATTCTTGCTACCCTGACATACCAGGAGTTTCCTAAATATTCCATGATGTCTTATGCCTTGCTGCCTTCGACACGTGACTGCTCTTTTAGGATGCCTGCCCTCTTTCTCATCCCACTTTGAATCTCAAACTCACTGATTTGCCCAATTTTTCATTCTTCAAATTTCAGATCAAGCTTTGTTTCCACTCTAAGGCTTTCCACGAACTCTCTAAATTTATCAGACTCTTCCTTTATGCACTACTTAGGCTTCCCTACATTTTTGCAGCAATCACACAGAATGACTTTTTTGTGGTTTACATGTTTGTTTTCCCCACTAACAATCTGAGAGAAGAAACTCTGCAGTATTGTTTCAACACCTGCTCTGCAGGAAAATCTTTCCCCACCTTCCAAACTGGATTACCTGCCCCAACCCAAACCTCTGTGGGTCACCAGAGAATAGTACCTAATTACCTGGACTTGTCTAATTCTCACATTTGACTAGGAACCTCTCATGGACATGTTGGCATGGAGATGGAAGGTGGCATGGAAGGTGGCACGGAGATGCACGGCACATGAATGCTCGATTCCAGTTAATCAAATGTAAATACAATTTTGAATATTAAACAACCATAAGCCTACTTTGTTTTGATCTAAAGAGAGCTAAGATCAGCATTCTTGAATCTGTTTTAAATAGCCTGAAAATAAAAAGAGATCGTCCATGTGCATGAAGAACCAAAGGCCCGTCACAGCATGGCTGAGCTTCTCTGCGAGCCCCATTTAAGCCTGTATCTAGGGAATGGGGCCTGCTGGCAAACCACGTACCCGTCGCTGATCTTGAATTCATCCTCACTCTCTTCTTCGTCCAGGTTGCTGTCACTGTCCAGATCATTCAGTCGCCGGCGTTTCTTCCGACGTGCAGCAGCTGCCCTCTGGGGTCGTTTATTTTCTTTTCTTTCTTCATCCAAAATAGTAGAGATGTCTTTCCCACGGTGACCTGTGATGGTGGAGATATCTTTCCCTCGGCCGGCTCCTGAGTGCAGGGGGAATGGGGAGGGCGATGAGGGGAACAGAGGGAGGAAGAGAGACAACAGTATGTTTATTAAAAGCTTCTCTCTAGATAGAGCTGTCCTTGTTCATCCTTAGCGGCTCATTTACTTTTTTCCTACAAATAAGCAGTTTTCTCACAACTTCAGCTGACAGAGCTCTCATCAAAGAATTTCTGCACGTGTTTAGTCTACTAAGGGGAAGTTCACCACGTAAAGAACCTCTTTTTAAAAAATTTGATAAAATTTGCATACTATAACATTCACCCTTTTAAAGTGTATAGTTCAGAGGTTTTCAGTAGTCACAAAGTTGTGCAACCATCACCACTAACAAATTCCAGAAAATTTTCATCAACCTCGAAGGAAACCTCATACCTATTAGCAATCACTCAAGAATCTCTTCTTCAAAGCTGTCTTTTGGACATGGCTTTAGAAAGAGACCAATCCGTTTTCTTTTAACTGTGTGTGCAGGACAGAAAAGGTGAGAATCCCGCAGCAAAGCTGTAAATAAGGTGCAGAGCCCTGGAAAAGCTGGTGACTTCTTCAGACAGCCTACTTACTACTGATCTTCTTCAGAGTTTTCCTAAGTACTAAAGGAAACCACAATGCTCCATACTGGAGCACTGGTAATTCTCTGTATCGCTCTTTCATTAAATTACCTTCAAATCCTTCTGTTTTCATGTCACCTGTTAAAGACTATGAAATTAATAAACTGATTTTTAAAAGGTTGATCTAAAGCAATCATTTAGATTCAGATTATCCATAATTTTTAAGATTTTGTAGCAGTAGTGATCTAAACATAATAAGAAAAGTTTAAGTGGGTTTTCTATTTGGAAGCAGAAAAAATTTTTTTAATCTACAGAGGAACATTTAGATTTTATATCAGGTCATAAAACTACTTGAAAAATAATTAATAAGATCTGAGTCTACACACTGACACAATGTCCACAGATTATTTTGAATCTCAGACATTTAACATCAGTAGAGAATTAAAAAAAAAAAAAAGTATGCTTACTGCCCTAATCAGTGTTTTGTTTTGTTTTTAAGTAATCTCTATGCCCAACGTGGGGCTCGAACTCACAACTCTGAGATCAGGAGTCGCATGCTCTACTCACTGAGCCAGCCAGGCGCCCATACTCTGGGCATTTTAAGTTAACCTACTGGCCAAGTCATATGAAGAAGAGGGAATGATAAACACATACCTCCTCCATCAGCTTCTTTGATATCATCTTCTATAGCTTCATCGATTGCTTCATCAAATTCATCAAATCTAAAATATATACAACAATCACATCACAGCCTGTCCTGGTACATGGATTAGGAGGAGTTGCCTCTGAAATGAAAAAGGCCTGAGTATAAAAATGCTCTCTGCCACTCTGGGGCTGTGTGACTTGGACTACATCACCTTACTCCTGTTAACCTCAATTTCTTTTGCAAATCAGTATCTAATTCATTTTCAGAGATCATCTATACCAGGCATCAGCAACGATTTTTATAAAGGGCCAGACAGTAAATATTTTCGGCTTTGTAGACTCTACGGTCCCTGTTGTAACCACTCACCCCTGCCACTGAGCTGCAAAAGCCGCCAGAGACAAGGCAAGTGAACGAATGCGGCTGTGTTCCAACAGAACTTTATCTATGGACACTGGGATTCGAATTTCATGTAACCGTCCTAAGATTTCCTTCTTTTGGTTCTTTTTTCAGTCATTTATACATATAAAAACCATTCCTAGGTCACGGGCTACGGCTACATAAACTGGCAGTTGAGCTGGGATTTGCCCCACAGGCGACAGTTCGCCAACCTCTAACTACATAAATCACATAGCAAAGTAAGTTGAATTAGTGTTCCAGAAATAATACTAAGTGTGAGAACTACACTATTATTGTCATCAGGGATTATATTACTATTATTACCAAGGTCCATATACAGATGCTCAGAATTTTAGAACTAGATAAAAGTACTTTTTCTCACAAGGGCCACCGCCCCCAACTTAGAGAAGACAAGTCTAGATGATCCCCAAGATTTCTTCACATACAAAACTCCCTTCACTTGAGACCTGAGATGACCAAACAGATAAAGTGACTTGCCTAAAACTATGCAAAATATGGTAATTACTAGCTGTGTGTGGCTATCTATATTAAAATTAATTAAAATGAAAAATTCTGTTCCTTGCTAGCCAGATTTTAAGTGCCCCACAGCTACGTAAGGCACCACGCCGGACAGCAAAGAAATAGCACATCTCCATGAACACAGTAAATTCTACTGGACAGTGTTGGATTAAAGGCAGACAATGGATTAACGACAGAATTTAAAAGCCAAATATTTTGCCTTTTGAGTTAAGAAACTCATTACAGCTATGGATTTCCTCTTTAGAAAAAAAAAAATCCACACAAACATAAAATTTTATAACTAATTTCAGAGGATTCACAAGTTTCAGGTTAAGAATTCTTCCACAACATAGTTTTTAATGGCTATATAGTATCTAATCTTATAGATGTGTCATAATTTAGTTAAAAGTTTACTTCCAATTTTTTCACAATTACAATCATAGCTATGAAAAACAACCCTGCAGCTGTAGCTTAGGTTTTCTTTAACAAATTCTGAGAAAGTAAAAATCTGTACATCCACTCATCAGGCTAGAATAACAGATATAGATAAAGCCAGATGCAATTAAGAGAAAACAGTATTTCTCCCAATGACAGGTTGCAGCGCTAAATAGCAAAACAGCCTCTTCCTCTGAATGACTTCTACTTTCCTACTCACCAAAATACCTGGTTTTCTGTGTCAGAGACCATTAGAACCTTTGGACTTATGAAATGGTATCAGTAAGAATAAAATATTCCATGCTTGCCTGGAGGATTTAAGTTACTTTTAACACAAATAGGCAGCCTTGATTTATATCCCAGATGCAGAGCTTTGAATAAGGGAATGGATACAACACCCTACACATCAACCTCAAATTCAATGCTTTCAGGAAACAGGAACCTGTGTCCACTATATGGTCTAGATCTGATAGAGTTGCCTTCAGCCTAACTCTTCATTGCTTCATTTACATTTCATCTAAACTCTACCCTTCCTCAGTATCTTATAACTCTACCTTTTCCTTTGTTTGGTGAGTGCCCATGGTTCCACCAAGAGATTTTGTTGGCCCTTAGGTTTGTTCTTGGTATTCTTGCTACAAATAAAACTGTTGGCATAAAAACTGTTCTTCCAATATCACTTGGCATCAGGGAAGTACAAATCAAAACCTCAATGAGAAACCACCTCACACCAGTCAGAATGGCTAAAATTAGTAAGTCGGGAAATGACAGATGTTGGAGGGGATGCAGAGAAAAGGGAACCCTCCTACACTGTTGGTAGGAATGCAAGCTGGTGCAGCTGCTCTGGAAAACAGTATGGAGGTTCCTCTAAAAGTTAAAAATAGGACTACCCTACGACCCAGCAATTGCACTACTGAGTATTTACCCCAAAGATACAAATGTAGGGATCCAAATGGGTATGTGCACCCCAATGTTTATAGCAGCAATGTCCACAATAGCCAAACTATGGAAACAGCCAAGATGTCCATCAACAGATGAATGGATAAAGAAGATGTGGTATATATATACAATGGAATATTATGCAGCCATCAAAAGGAATGAAATCTTGCCATTTGCAATGACGTGGATGGAACTAGAGGGTATTATGCTAAGCAAAATAAGTCAATCAGAGAAAGATAAGTATCATATAATCTCACTGATATGAGGAATTCTTAATCTCAGGAAACAAACTGAGGGTTGCTGGAGTTGTGGGGGGTGGGAGAGATGGGGTGGCTGGGTGACAGACATTGGGGAGGGTATGTGCTATGGTGAGCACTGTGAATTGTGTAAGACTGTTGAATCACAGACCTGTACCTCTGAAACAAATAATACATTATATGTTAAAAAAAAAAAAAAAGAAGAAGATAGTAGGAAGGGAAAAATGAAGGGGGGAAATCGGAGGGGCAGACGAACCATGAGAGACTATGGACTCTGAGAAACAAACTGAGGGTTCTAGAGGGGAGGAGAGTAGGGGGATGGGTTAGCCTGGTGATGGGTATTAAAGAGGGCACGTATTGAATGGAGTACTGGGTGTTATACGCAAACAATGAATCATGGAACACTACATCAAAAACTAATGATGCAATGTATGGTGATTAACATAACATAATAAAATAAAATTAAAAAAAAACCTGTTCTTCAAGGATGGTAGCAATTTATAATATAACCATGAAGTGAATTTTATCATCTTTTTTCTAATTTTGAAAATTATTTTCTTGTTCTTTTACTTTTTTTTTTTTAAGATTTTATTTATTTATTTGACAGAGAGAGAGAGAGACAGTGAGAGAGGGAACACAAGCAGGGGGAGTGGGAGGAGAAGCAGGCTTCCCGCTGAGCAGGGAGCCCAATGCGGGGCTTGATCCCAGGACCCTGAGATCATGACCTGAGCTGAAGGCAGACGCTTAATGACTGAGCGACCCAGGCGTCCCTGTTCTTTTAATTTTAATGTGATTACTGAGTAAGGCCAAATAATAGTTTCATGTTTATTGGTCATTTTTGCTTTTTCTTTTATAAGGCTAGTTTGAATCCTTTGCCCGTTTTATCAGCCAGTGTGCATCTTTTACTACTTGTAAGAGCTTTCAAGGTATTAAAGATTTTAATAGTTTGTCGTATGTTGCAATTATTTTTTCTTTTATTTTAATTTTTAAAATTATTCATTTGAGAGAGAGAGAGCGCACAAGCAGGGAGAGGGGAGAAGGAGAGGAGAAGCAGACTCCCCACTGAGCAGGGATCCCGTTGCAGGGCTCCATCCCAGGACCTTGGAATCATGACCTGAGCCAAAGGCAGATGCTTAACCAACTGAGCCATCCAGGTGCCCCTGTTGCAATTATTTCTATCCCAAGTGTACTTCCCCTTTAGCTTTTGCTTTTTAAGTTTTGAGAAATGAAAACTGACATCTTGCCCTGCTACAATTATGAATATGTGCCCATAACATTTCCAGTCAGCCCCCTCCCAAATAAACAAACAAATGTAAAAAGTCAATGCTGTCTAGTTCTAGTTTCCAAAATAAACAAAACCTTGGTTTCCCTAAAGTAACTGATTTCCTAACAAAAATGTCTTTATTCTCGACTTCAGTAACGTTAATGACTGGAGATGCAACAGCTTTTACAGACATCATGGAAAAAGCTACTGTATTTCCACAATGAAAAAAACTATACTCAGTGTAATTTTTAAAATTCGTAAGGTGTTCCTTTTGAATTCTAACTCCTTTGAAAAATTTCTTTGCAAGAAAATATTTTTTTAGAAGTGCTTCTAAGTCTTTCTTAAATTTTATGTAATCAAATCTCCTTTCCATTATTGCTTCTGTGTTTGATGCTATGCTTAAAAAGTTGCTCCTTACAGTAGATTACATGCCTTCCTTAAATCTTTTTGGGAAGTAGATATTATTATATATAATAGTAGATATAATTATCTATTTATAATTATATTAAAATAATTATCCTATATATATTATATATAGGAAGTAGATATAATTAAATAAATTAATCACACAATACATTTTATGCTAAAGAATATACTTTTTCATAAATTTCTATAGTACTGTTATATAAATTTAGAGCTGAAGGAATCACCTGTGTTAATCCGCCATCAACCAAGACCTAGGGAAATGGACCACTCCAAGTTACATGGGTAATACATGGTATGGTGAGGACTATAATCTTATTCTTCTGTACCCCAATCCAATGCTGCCTCTAGTCAACTTTGATGTCATCCTCTCTGTTAGCAGCAGTAAGAATCTGATAAACAATTATTAAATGATAATGGTGATGAAATTCTTTTTTGCCCTCTTTCTGTGGTAATACTTTATTAAGTGCTTTATATTTTATACTCACAATAATCCCACTGCACCCATATACAAATTAAATTCTAGGTGTATTTAGAGCCTAAATATGAAGAGTAAAATTTATTAGAGAAAGCATATGAATGACTTTCTTAATATCTCTCAGTTAAGTTTCTTTTAAAAAGTACTAAGAAGGAAAAAAAAAAAAAAAGTACTAAGAAGCAGAAATCATAAAGAAAAAATGACAAGAGACATACAAACACCCAGCAAGCAAATGAAAAGATGCTCATCATCAATTAGGGAAATGCAAATCAAAATCACGAGATATTGCCTCATATCCGCTAGGATGGTCACTATCAAAAAAAACCTCCAAAGCCAACAAGTGTTGGCAAGGATGTGGAAAACCTGGAAACTATACGCTGCTGGTGGGAAGCAAAAGGGTGCAACTGCCATGGAAAACATCATGGATGTTCCTCAAAAAACACAAAAATATAAGTGCCATAGGATCCAGCAATCCCACTTCTGGGTATACATCCAGGATGAAATGCTAAGAGTAAATCTCTCCTTCTTTTAACAACCACAACTACATCAAGATTGAAAGATAATACAGTTCTATTGTAAGGTTTGTTCTGAAACTGTGAATTGTTACAAGACTGATATATTAGGAAATAATTCAAGCATAATGTGTATTTTATACTTACTTTAAGTAATTTTATTCATAAGAAACACTAGGTAAATGTAGAAAACTGCACCTAGCCATACAGGCATATACAAACTGCATACATATACATGCCTCAAATATCTACCAGCAACCTCAGCTCATTATGTGTGTTACAAGCTATAGCCATCTGCGTCTACGACTTCCTGGTTGATTTCAAATAACCCTCCTTCTACCACCACACAATGATTTACAAACGGCAACCCACCTCACAACCACTTCCACAGACAAACTTCAGGGATTTTTCAATAGAAAATGTGGTAGTTGGCGTAATATTTATATTAGTTCTTAACCATTTAACGTGCGTCAAATGTGACTATGTTTTTATTACAGTCATATCTTTTTCTTAAATTTTATTTTATTATGTTAATCACCATACATTACATCGTTAGTTGTTGTTGTTTTTTTTTTTTTAAAGATTTTATTTATTTATTTGACAGAGAGACACAGCTAGAGAGGGAACACAAGCAGGGGGAGTGGAAGAGGGAGAAGCAGGCTCCCGGCTGAGCAAGGAGCCTGACGTGGGGCTCGATCCCAGGACCCTGGGATCACAACCTGAGCCGAAGGCAGATGCCTAATGACTGAGCCACCCAGGCGCCCCACATCATTAGTTTTTGATGTAGTGTTCCATGATTCACTGTTTGTATATAACACCCAGTGCTCCATGCAGAACGTGCCCTCTTTAATACCCATCACCAGGCTAACCCAGCCCCCACCCCCCTCCCCTATATTCATATCTTTAAAAAAAAATGTCACTAACGAAATTTTTGAGTGTGGCCCTACCTCCATATTTCCCATAATCCCTATGGTTTATATTGTGTGATTTTACACAGTCCGGCAATTTTTAGGAATTCGTATGTTGTATTACGGCAGAACTGACTTTACCCTTGCTCTTTCCATGAGCAGGCTTTGATTTCATCAGTTATGATGATTTTATATAAAATGGTACCATGATAAGTGCTTTCAAAGAGAAGAATTGCTTGCTATGAGGGCATGTAATAGATTTGATCAAGAGAAGGTTAACAAGGTGAAAACAGGAGGGAAATCCTAGGTCGAGTAAAGAGCATGTGCAAATAAGCTGAAAGAAGACTGGCTGATAATGACAGAATGAGGAAAAATGTGGATGACACGGAGCTGAAAAGCTGGGTACAGAGAAACGGTGGTGCCTGTAGGGGCCTTGTTAAAGCATCGATCCTTATCCCAAGAGCTACAGAAATCTGACACAGTGTATTAAGCAGAAAAGGATGACATGAGCAAATTTATGTTTTGAAAAGATCACGTTGGCTGCTCTAAAACAGCATGATTCTAAAGACAGTAAGTAACAAATATATATATATCTAACTAATGATCATTATGAAAAAAAGCATATACTCTTGGGTCATATTTTATAATTTAAAAAAACATTTTACACTCTTTTATTGTAACCATTTCCACATATTTCATACCTATAACTTATACATTTCCGTGTTCTTGTTGACCTCCTTTCAAGTAAGTTTGCTTTGGATTTTTTTGAATCTTTTTTCTTTTCTTCATGATCTTCAGAAAAATCTGGCTCCTGGTTTAAAAATATGATAACAAATATATAGGTTATTAGGACAAACAAAAAGCTTCTTGGAATGAATAGTTTTCTAATGTCTGTCTAGGCAGCATATGTGAAAGACCTGAAAAAGTGAGGTGATCTCACACCCCCCCAACAAAACTGAATGAACACGGCCACACTAAGTAGAGAGATTAAAAAGAGTACTGGTGATCAAAGGATGAAGCCCTTCTGTATTAAAATTCTTATGTTTCTGTGAGTTTAGAACTACCTCTTTTAAAACAATCATGATGAAGTTTCTCCACTGATAAATTTTTTAACAAATAATTAAATCGAATACATAGAAGATATTCAGAATATATGCTGAATCAATGAAATAATGGATTTAGAAAAAGAAAGAAGCATGATGATAAAGGAAAGTAACTAACCAAGACAGGTTACTTAAGTGTGTGATTTAGTTAAGCCTGAATGAAACTGTGTATGAAACTAGGAACATTTCTTCATTTCAAATGAAAACCATGTTACATGTACTTTCACTCATGAGATATCCTTAATTAGAAATTAGACTAATAATGTAAAACAATATTCCTTCAAAGAAACCAACTGTTAAGAACAAATACCGAAGTTTCTAATAACAAACACCCAAAGCACAGAATTAAAAACCCAATCTCCCTGAACTATTCTTTTGTCACTTTACATAAACAACACATAAAGAAGCCAAAAACAAATTACCCAGTATAATACAGGGTTAAAAAAAAAAAACAAAAAAAACCCCACCCCAGAACATATACCCCATAGCAGTGAGCTATATAAATCCCATTTGAATGTGATATTACATTTTAGGGCTATCAGCACATACGTAATTTTTATTTTATTATTATTGTTATTTTCTTTAGTAGACTGACTCTACACCCAACATGGGGCTCAAACTTATGACCCCGAGATCAAGAGTTGCATGCTCTACCGACTAAGCCAGCCAAGCAGCCCAGCATATATTTAATTTTAACCATGAGGGAAAATATGGGTGATTTCTTTAAGGTCCTAAATTTCCACTTTTAATAATACAGGTATACTATATATTTAAAACTATTCACATTACATAAAGTGGGTTAAATTTTAAAACAATTATGACAGTCTCTTCTTCAAAAATACTACAAACCAGAAACTTACTTGTGGAGGAATGATGTTTTCGATACTGATACCCACATACACCAAACGTTCTTTCCTTTAGGTGAAAACAAAAACGCACGCAAAATGAGATTTGCTAAAAATAAAATTGTTATGAAAACATTGCTAACACAGACAATACTAAAATTATGATTTCATGGGAATAGCAGAGGCTAGGTCATATGACAGACATGTTAGCTACTGTCTATAGAGCTTATCGTACTGGTATCTGTGGGAGGCACAAAACTTTCTAAAGGTAAAAATTGTAAAAAGGTGTAACTGAAAATTGTAGTCTTGGAAGTAATTATACTGATGAAATAAAACCTGCGAGCTGAAATAGACAAGGAAACTTCATGAGGAGAGTTATGCTGCAACTCACTGACAAAGTGATTAGACAGAAAGTCAACGCTGGACAAACTAGATCTTTGTTAGGCTGGAAGTTTTCATATGCGTATATATACAACCATAATCTCAAGGTAATAAATATCAATACTAAAAAAAGAAATTCTATGCAATAGAACCATATCAAGGTCCCAGTGATTGATACTAAAACCATGTGTTTACAGAGAAGAAAAAAGGCAATGCACCCTAGTTGCTCCAGTGAAGATTACTTTTAGAGCCAGTTAACACTTCTTCAGGCAATGTGGATTTAGAACACTAATGAGATCTCCATAGTTTCTTTTCCAAAGAAACAAACCTCTGTTGATTTTAATTCAACAAATTTTACATTAACAAACTGCTATACCCAACACGAGTTTTTTCTGGTTCTCCCAAAGTTAATCTAATTCACCAAGGACAGATGAGCTCTTATATGCAGGCCAGTGTATGTTGAACTGAACAGAAATAGCCACTCTTCCTCCCTTTGCATGTGATGTCCCTTATAGAAGGGCATTACTCATCCAGTTACCTGGGTCCTTTAGAATGCAGCCTTTACTGCCCTAGAAACCCTTGGCTCTGCTAACAAGAATCTTACAGTCTTTTTGAGATGGGTTATAAAGCTATTCAGTCAAAAATTGGAATGTAAGAAAATGATGAAGTTATTTTAATCAAAATCTGATTTAAAATAGTACAGTTAATGAATTAAAAACTAGGAAAGGCAAAAACAGTACTAGCTGAAATTAACAGGGAAGGCTTCATGGACAAGTCAGAACTTGAGTTCTCTGTTACTAAATATGTTCAACATATATTTATCCCTACACTAACCAAGTTTACTGTTTTATCAGTTTCCTCTTTTATACCTTAAAATCTCTACTTTCACTTTATTATTATCTCAACTCAACTGAAAAACATTCAGTTCACGTCCACCATACTGAGGTCATGATTCGTGTCAGGCCTGGGAATCCTGAGGGCAAATAATACACGGTTCTTGTCCTCACAATTATTCAACAACTCACTGTAGTCCATTATGAACAGGTATAATGGAAACATGAAGAAGGAATAACTTGTTTGAAGAGCTGAGAAAGTGGAGGCTTTAAATAGGTGGTAACAGTTGAGTAGGCTCTTGAAGGTAGGTATGGTTTCTCATCACAGCATTCTCTTGCTCAGTAATCTTACAGAAAGATATCTCTTCCACTCCATCTCACCACCACCTAGCTCAATGATCATACTGGGCCCAGACCTCATCATTACAGATAACCACACCCTTCCTAAAATTTCAATTTCAGGGAACCTATTCTCTGACGTCTACTGGCTCACTTTCCGGCTTACTCCCTCTGGTACACTGATTTCAACAATTCCCTAACTCCAGTGGGACCTCTATCCATCGACCCTAGCCTCTTTTCACTGTCCATTACTCCCTTGTGTCCTTACTTTCCCCCTTACCTGGCTTAGACTCCACGGTCCATCATTATAAATACTCCTTTGCATACACTTTCAAATTCCTTGTCTCTTTCTCTCCTTCCCTCTGTTACATTACCTGGAAAATTCCAACCCTGATTAAATCCAACTCTCTGCTAGCAAACACTAGTAAAAGTACTCTGGAAGTACAGAGCTATTTGAATTCCCAAATAATTCCTGCACCAAGTTCTGGAAGGGATGTTTACCAACCAGTTGAAGGGACTTCTGAAACATCAAATTTCACAGAGCATCACAGCTCCAGCTCTGTAGACAGTTTCTGGCTAGTCACTAATTACTCATTGACAAATCCTTCTTTTTCACCATACTGTAGAGCCCTTTAAGGTAGAGACCACATAATACACTTCATGTTGATTACATTGCCTGGCATAAAGTGAGTGCTCACTACATGTTGGTTAAATGTCGAATAAATGTATGAACGAAGGGAAAGATGCTCCCATGCTAGGATATAGAGAGTAACCAAGGCCGTTAAGTTTCTAGGATGAGTGCTAGAGAAATTATTTTTACAGATTTTAAAAAGGGTGAATAAAAATGCTCATTTTTAAAAACAGATGGAGTCACCTAGAATTTACAGTTAATATTTTACTTTAGAAATATACATATTTTGCTCTTTAGAGCCCCTAGGATTCATATATATCAGAATCTATGTATATTAGAAGCTATATATAAAGAAAACTTTGTTAACCAGATTATTGGGAAGAATTAAAAAATAATAGCAATAATTCAGTTAACTGGCTTTGTGGCAGACTGTTCTCTCCAAAATAGTAACTTTACTCTCCTTTCTGTGATCCAATCTCAAAAAGAATTTAGTGTGTGAACTAAAGCCACAATTTTGGATGTCCTCTTAAAGTTTAAGTAAAGAGGATTACCAAAAGTAGAAGCGAAAGCAAATGAGTTAGTAAATGGGAAGACCAATAGTGTGAATAAGTATTGTGGCACATTTTAACATAAATTTCTAAAATTTTAAGTATTTTTTAATTGCAACAATATACCCTATAGCGAGGCAGTAGTAAAAAAATTTTAACCAGCCTTTCCACAAAACTGCTCATTTCTCAGAAGGGCAGGTAGATTTCAAAAAGAATAAAGAAATAAGGTCCCTAATTTTTTATTATGATTTAATTTGAAGCATCCTTAGTTAAATCTTTTCTAGTGTCAAAAATAAAAACAGGAACAACTGTGAATATCAAAATAGTCCTAATAATTATATAAAGGACTATTACCCAGAGTTTCTAAATACACAGGTATTTAGACAACTGATTTTTAAAAAATGAAGTATTTTTATCTCCTAGTCAACTTTAGAGATTAATTTTGCCTTTAAACCAAGTAGCATCCATTATAAACCAGAGAGCTGAAGCTGACTAGTAAGGAAAAAACCAGGATCTGGAGGCTGAAACCACTGAGTTCACAGTATGGGGGAGTAAAGTGAGTGGATTAGCAAATGAGCTACCTGTCTTAAAGCAAGCTAAATTTGGGGGGAGGGGCAAGACTATGAGATAGCAGGTAAAAGTTACAGGAGCAGCAAATGAAGGTAGTAAGACCAGGAGACATTGTTTAAATTTTCTCATAATATGTACAAATGGGCATCAAATCCTCCTAAGCTTCTGAAAATTCTCTTTTAACACCTCCACTTTATTATGTAAGGTATGTCCTAGTTCAGGCCTCACCGGCTCTCCTAGACTCCACTGCAACAGTCTCAACTCTAATTCCTTTTTATTGTTACCAGGGCATGTTTTCTGAAATAAAGACCTGATTATACTTGTCTCTCCTTTGATGGTTCTCTTACTACCTGTAGAGAATAATTCAAATCCCCTAGTCCGGTATGCCAAACTGTTCACAGTTAGGCCTCAATCTGCATTTACAACTTCATCTTCTACCACTCTCCCCGCCTCAAGTTCACACTTTGTTCACACTTTGTCAGGACTTGCCTGATAACCCAAACCCCTATCAGAACTAAAATGCCCCTCCACGGCGTTCCTGTATTGCTCCGAATATGCCATGATCTGTCTACTTTACCACTGGCCAATACGGCTGTATTCTAACAGAGGTGAGTTCTCACTCACCTTTTCTCTTCAGTTTGGTACCACAGTAGGCATGAATAACTGTTTAGCAATAGAATAATCAAGGAAGGTACAAATAAATATAAATAAACATAAACTTACTATGCCGATTTTGAACCCCCTTTTAAAGACTGGATTCAACTCCAGTCTTACCTCCTCCAAGAAGTCTTCTCCAACTGCTTTAAGACTACATTGCAATGGTAAATTGAAAAGGGAGGCATATCTTATGACTATAAGTTATGACTCTTATGACACAGTTCAGCATTTAAATGCTCTTTATTTTATCGGTGTTAATACTGCCCACCCAAAGAGATGACATGGGTAACTAGACCAGTTCTGAGAATTTTCTTGTACTCACTACATACTTAGTAAGGTACATATCCTCCACAATAACTGGGCCAATATTTATTCAGAGTAGGTTTTGATAAATATTTTAGATCAGTAGTTGGCAAACTTTTCCTGTAAAAGGACAGATAATAAATTAAGCGTGGCAGGTCAAAAGGTTTTTACTGTAACTACTCAACTCTGCTGCTGTAGTGTTAGAGCAGCAACAGACAATATATAAACAAATGAGCATGGCTGTGTTCCAATAAAACTTTTTTTATGGACAATGAAACTGGAATATAGAATTTTCATATGTCATGAAGATTCTTGTTTTGATTTTTTTCAATCATTTAAAAATGGAAAACAAACATTCCTAGTGGGCAATACAAAATTAAGGAGCATGCCAAATTTGACCCACAGGTCACAGTATGCCAATAATTACTTTAGATAGACATATTAACCTATATTGCAAAACAATTTTATTATCAAATTCCCAAGTAAAACATTAAGACACGTTATCACAATACCTGCGTTCAGCACGTTCCTTCTTCTTTAAGGCAACATCCAAATCCTGCAATTGTTCTTCTAATTTCTCACATAGTAGTTTCTGAAAGAGCAAAACACGAGTGTTATATATTTTTTTTTTAAAGAAAGCTCTACGCCCAGTGGGGGACCCCAAGATCAAGAGTTGCATGCTCTACTGAGCCAGCCAGGTACCCCCCCAGGAGTGCCATTTTTAACACCTTTCCACAAACATTTATCCTTTGCATGCCGGCTCATGGATACTATGCTAGTTTGAGAGCTTATAAAGGGTCACACAGTGAATGAACACTGAGATAGTCCTTGTGTTTAACTACATAAAGAGGTGCCTCAGCATCCACTGAACTGAAGATGAGCACAGCATCTCTGCAGTTAACACACATGTTGGGGAAACTCCTAGCCTCATCAAGAAATACATTCTATGCCTATGTTGCTGGTGGTAATCAACGTTTAAAATAGCATATGGCTCAACATGTTTACATGACAGTGATGAAAAACTTTTAAGACTCACACAACATTTTTAAGGGAGAAGGTTCTATGTACAATACAATATAATGGTGCCAATCATTATTTTTAAAAAAGAGAATGGGAAAAAATTACACAACCATGCCACATGGTGATTGGGTCAAAATGGAGCTGAAGAATGTAACTGAAAAAGCTATGCTAAGCCACGGAAGTTCAGTTCGCTGGGAAATGCAATAAAGCCCATCATTTTTAAAGTGAGATGAGACTGGACTTGTGACAGAAAGGACCCCTTGAGTGCAGTGGCATAAAAAACAGCCCGTTCTTCAGCTTTCAAAAGAAATTCACCTGAATCACGATATAAGAGAAATATAATCCATGTTTCTATTTATAGTAGCATCATAGTGGTACATAATTCATAATACCATCCATAAAACTGAAAAGAAGGAGGTAGGCAGAAATGAAAAAGAAGATGAAACAAAGGGATAAAGAAACTTATTTCTTCCCTCATATATCATTTTAATTTGGGGCTATTTGTGCCTGTAACAAATGTGAGAAAAAAATAAATCAGAGATTATAATTTTATAAAAATTAGAGGTCTCTGAAAAATGCTTTGGGAGAAAAAAAAACAAAGGCCTAAAAGATATTAATAAAAAATAGTTTTCACAGAAGGTAAGGTAAATTTCACAGAACTTTAAACAAAAGGTAAACAATATTTACAAATTGCTTTGAAATGAAAAATGTTTAGTGGCTGTCAAGAAGTATTATTCATTGGAATATAAAACTGAAGACTAAAAACAAAGGTGTGCTGGGTCATACGTGTTGGCAAGGGGGGCAGAACCACTCTCCATCTGGGATGATCATCAGTGGAGGGCGAAGGCAGGCAGTGTGGTATCCACTGTCACAAGAGTCACACAGAAGAATCTGAAATAAACCACAGGTAAATGTCAACCTAATTCTACAACTAAAATTCAATGCCTCTGAAGTTAAAGACATTTCAATAATTTTTTAGTACTATACTAAGAAATACACTATATCACAGTATACACTATATCACAAATTTAGTGTATTTTAGTGTGTTTAAATTTTTTACTACTTTTCACTTTCCATACCTATTCTCATCACAAGCACTAAGTCCAGCCCACACTCAAGGGGAGGAGAATTAAGTTCCACTTTCTGGAGGGTGGAATATCAAAGAATTTGGAGGTATAAGTTAAAACTTATTAATTAAAATTAATAAACTTCACCCACCAATTTTAGCACTCATCAGTCCTACATTATTGCTTGCAACAATTGTTACTATGGTGTTCTAATGATGATTACCTATTTCCCTCATGCCTTCTAATATTTGGAATTCTTCTGTAAAGAAAATATGTCCTTCTCCCCATTTGTTTATTCAGTCACTTTATATCAGGATCAACTAACAAAGATTTATTTTCTTTGGGTTAGAATCTAAAACCATTACTTATTGTTCAAATTGCTAGTTCTTTCTCCTTAGGACTCATTTGCATCCTTTATTTTAAGCACTTTTTTACTTTCTGACACTATGGGACATTCCAGGCACATCTTGTGTTTTCTCTGACCAAGCCTTTGTATTAGCCATTTCTCCTAGAAGCCCTGGTTCCTTTATTGGAGAATGGTATTTAGAAACCAAAATCTGGGGGGCAACTGCGTGGCTCAGTCGGTTAAACGTCAGACTCCTGATTTTGGCTCAGGTCATGATCTTAGGGTCGTGGGATCCGAGTCCGGTGTTGGGCTCCCTGCTCAGTGTGGAGTCTGCTTGTCCCTCTCCCCCGTTCCTCCCCCTGCTCTAATAAATAAATAAAATCTTAAAAAATAAACAAACATCTGGGTGCTGAGTGCTATGATACTAGGTATCACTGCCTCTAGGCTCTCTCAGAGGACAGAGCTATGATATATATGTATGTAGAGCAATCCATGTAAACACACAGATCTATATTAAAATAAGCCAGTATCTCCAGCTCTAATCCAGTACCAAAGGGCTCATTCTAGCCTTTGATCTTGCTCATCTGTAACTTCTTTTTTCTGACACTAAGAAAACTGGCTCCAATTCTCCACACTTCATTTATTTGTTCAACTGTAGTATATATGTAAAGCAGTTTCTAAATTGCTAACACGAACCATGGGGGGTTAGAGGAGAGCAGTGGGATGTGCACCCAAGTGCAGCGATTTAAAAGTGAAAAGCTGCCTTCCCCCTTCTCCTTACAATGCATCACCATTTGCTGCCAATACCCAGAACTCAATACTAAGTCATGTGAGTGTTTAACTTGAGTTATACACTGACTGATCACACAGGCATACGTAGACTACCCTGGGCACCTGATTTCATTTATCACATTGTTTGCATGGTAAAACATAATCTAAATTTCAAATAACAAAATTAAAAGTAAACTTTTAGAATATGATTTATTTAAAAAGTGATGTTTGTCTCTATTCTGTAATAAAGATAAAATTCCGTTAAAATGCTACTGTGTAGGATTTCCAAGGCTCAGGCAATGATCCACTGATTTTGACTAAAGCATGTGGAACACCCCACAGAGTTCTAGATTCATCAATGAATTTATTGTTTTTCTGCTGTAAGCTCAGTGAGGACAAGGACCATGTCCTTCTAATCCAGCGTCATCTGTGTACCACTTAGACACATCATAGTTGCTTGACATTTTGATTTATGATTATCCTTAAACATTGGGCATAAGGAATCCACCATATCTTCAGTTTCTAATGTCACTCTTTTTTGGCAGAGTAGCCAGCAATGGGATTTTCAGAGCAGTTATTAAAATAACCAAATAAATGAAAGTCCTGTGTGTGTGTTCCAAGAAGGGTGCAACTTTCTCCATTTCCTCAACATCATCTCTGCTCACTTCATTTTACTTCTCATTTCCTCACAACCCTTTGCTGCTGACATCTATTGCTGCTTCAGTCAAAATGCACTCTCTTGGTTTAAAAAGATTATTAGAAATGGCAGGGAAAGAACACAGGTGCTAATTTTTGATTTGGAGGGCAGAAAAGACCACTACCTCAAATCTTCTCTTGGCCTTTCTCCACACAAAAATCTTGACCTAACTTTCATAGCCTGATGATCATAAAAATTCTTGGAAGTGTCTTCTCAGCATAATTTCAACTTCTATTCTGAGAGCTAAACTCATTCTCTGTTTCTGAACCCTCTGAAACTACGGGAATATGATAAACATTATTGATACATTTAATTTCCAGATATGATTGTAATATTAAGGAAGAGAAAGAACAAGTAAACCACAAATAGCTTTAAACTAGCATGTAATAGATGACAGGAACTGTGCTAAGCCAACTTTACATAACTTATTAAAAACAACCCTCAGCAGACAGTCTCTCCTCTGCTGTCCTGTCCACTGCTCCCTTGTGGTGTGTTCTATAAACTTCTATCTCCTTTAAAAGACAAACAAACAAAAAGCCCTCAAAAGAAGTATGTAGTAGTATTTCCATTTTACAACAAAGAAATTAAGATACTGAGAAGAGAGCACCTGGTAAGTGGTGGAAGCCAGACCTACATCCACGATGGTCCGGCTCTAATGCTTTTCCTATCATCCCACACTGCTTTCTAGGAAAAAGAGCCTTGGAGAACTAGCTCACATGAATTTTCCAAACTTTACTGGATTTCGAAAAGTTTCTGCTACACAAAGTTCTACCTAGATGGAAGCATCTTTCCTTATTTTTCTTTCTACTTAGTGGTTAGAAATTGCCTTGAAAGTCACATCTATTCAAAACAGACCAGTTGTAGAGAATTAAGTATAAAAAGAGTGTTTCTTCAATAGGCTCTTTAGAAAGCTCGTATGAAATGCAAAAATTATATAAACAGGTTAGGAACTGGATTTCCTGATTTAGGCTACTTTTGAAGAACTTACTTCCTGGGTAAGTTCCACTGTCAGTATTCTTCTGAAGATATCTGGTCTAGAATTTATCCTTTTCATTTGTTTTTTTTCGGGGGTGTTTTGTTTTGGAATTCCCCATCTTCTAAAGTTTAAAGCCCTACTAGGTTACTACTTGACTTAAATGTTGCCACAGAAAGCAATAAGGCCTTTAGGCCTTACTTCTTTAAAGTTGTCACTTCAGAAATATCATTATAAATTAAAGGGAAAGAAGAAACGTTTAAAGAAGAAGAGAATAGAAAAATTTGAATTAATTTATTGATCTGTGAGAAGAGGTTAGGAGTGTATCCTTAAGTAGAGGAAACATCAATATATAAACCAAGTAGAATGAAAGCAGAATTGGGTTATTATTTGAGAAATAGAAATAAAGGTTATTTTGTGCACAAAAGCTGTGCAGCATTAAAAAATTTCAAATCATGATCAATCCTAGAGGAGGTAGGCTGCTTTGGGTAACCACAGCATGCCAGTAAGATGAATATTGTTCAATTAGATCAGGTACGTACTAGCTCAGGATGGTTTGGAAGGCCACATTTTTTGCATGGTTCATCATCATCTGCTAGGATGGCTTCTTCACTTTCCTTTTCTTCCTCTTCCTCTGAAGCTGCAGATGATTTTTCACTGTCCGACCCTTCACTTTCATCATTGCTAGAATATTTCCACCTGCCACGTGTTCGAGAACCAGTCCATCGAACTTTGCCTTTGGGTTTTACCTTGTATAAAATTAAAAATTGGAATAATTTGGTATAATAAGAACATTAAAAAACAAGCTTCTCATTATATGTCAGTTTTTAGTCAAAATACAAGAAGAAAATGAAAATTACTGTTTCTTCATCAGAGATCTCCCTACTATTAAATTTTGGTACATATTTCCATTATTTATTCTACTTTTGTTAGGGGGGCTTATAATGAACATTCTGACTTATAAGTATTTCCCTAGTCATAAAATATATTATTAACATCACTGTAAACAACTGTATAATATGCCATCACACAGCTGTATTTATCTAATCCCTTACTAGACAGACATTTAGGTAGTTTCCCAGTTTTTCACTTTCACAAAAAATGGCTCCTTGTAAATACAAATTTTTACAAACCTCTGTGGTTAGGATAAATTCCTTGAAGAGGATTCTGGGTCAAAGGCCATGCACATTTTAAAGGCTAAGAGAGCACTGACTATATTCTCACATATTGTTATATAAAAGTTTAAATTCCCATATTAGAGATGAATTTAAAATTTTTTATGGGTCAGAACTGTATATAAAAATCCTGACAAATATAAAAATGTATTATTCAGAGAGTAAGTTTATAATGTTGTAAACTGCTTTTTACCACCTGGTTTCAGTCTTTTAATTCATAGTTCACTTTATTCCTACAGTATAAGTCCCCATCAAAGACCAAAATAATTCTAACAACAGAAGGGGAAATGTTTTTAAAGAATTAAAAATTTAGTATTTCAGGGAACAAAGGATCACTTACAATGGAGAACAATCTGAGCACTTAAATAAATTAAAAATAAAAGTAGTTTTCATTATAACAAACTCCTATAAACTAGCTGTAGATTTGTACTAGATTTTGCTTAAAATAAAAGAGTCATAGAAAAGAGAATTCTGGCTTTAAGACTAATGATTAAATGGGGGAAGACAGACACTCTCGCACACGGTAAGGAGAGTACACTAACGGGGCCTTTTGAGGAGGGCAATGTGGCAACAGCTATCAAAAGTTAAAATACACACATGCCCCTTGACCCAGCAATGCCAATTCTAGGAGTCTATTCTAAAGAAATACTCACTTATGTCCAAAAGGATCTTCAATGCAGCATTGCCTGTAATAGTGAAAAATTGGAAACAACCTAAATGTCAATCAATAAGGGAGTGATTAAATAAACTGAGGTACATCCACACTATGGAAAACCGTGTAGCCATCAATAACCAAGAGGTAGACTACATCTACTGACATGGAAAGAGTTCAGAGACACGGTGATAAGTGAAAAATTCATAGAAAAATGAACATATTCAATTTATTTTTTAAGTGAATGGGTAAATATTTATGAACATACACATTAATGTATGGAAAAAGAATTGGAAAGAGATGTATCCCAAACTCTTAATAGTGTTTATGGGGCATTTTGATTTTTCAATCCTACAGGTTAGGTATTACCTGCATAGTTTACAAAGAGAATATATATTCCCATATTGCCTGTAACAGAGAAAAAGTTTAGAAGATGACAAGATTATACAGTGTGAAATTTAGTATCTGGGGATAACTAGTGAGAAAAGACATCTCAGATATAGGAAGAAAGATACCTTTTTTTTTTAAGTGCTCTTTGAATGACTTCTTTTGAACCAAAACCAAGAGCTACACTTAGGCTCAATTATTTCTAATAAATAGAAGAATAGGAGGAATTTTACCTTGCTTACTTTAGAATTCGTATCCTTCTCCGTTTTTTTCAGATTTTCTTTTTTGTCTGCTTTCTGCAAAGCTGCTGACTCTTCATCCACTTCATCTTCTCCTTCCCCTCTTTTTTTATCAGCTTTCTGATCTCTGATCTCAGCCACTTTTGCTGTGGGTCTAGATATTCTTGGAGACCTCCTTAAAGTACGACCTACATTTGTTTTCTCTTCTTCCTTTTCTGTCTTCTCTTGCTTGGTTTCTGGTTCTGGAACTTGGGGAGGAGAATCTGGCTTCTTCTTCCGACTGGATATCCTAATTGTTAATTTGATGCCCTCTTTCTGCCTTTCAGAGGTTATCTCTGTGTTTTCTGAGGCAGTGGTTTCTTCTTCAGGAACCAGCTTATATTTAAATTTGCTCTTTTGCGTAGAACCCTTTGTCTCAGAATGATCCTCTGTGCCAGAGGTCTGGGCATTGTCCAGATGATCTGTTTCTACCTTGGTGGATTCAGAATCCTTTTGTAGAATTTCTGGGTCTGTTTTTTCTAGGGGCTGACTTTCAGTGGAACTTGTGCTCTGACATTCCACCATTTCCTTTTCTGAGGCTAATTTCTCACAGTCGTCCGTCATGTTAGATGGTGCCAAGGTTTCAGCTGCCTCAGGAGAGACTGGCTTTACTGATTCTAGAGTATACTTTGGAACCTCCTCTGGTATTGGACTCAATCTTTGTGTGTCCTTATCAAGAAAAGTCTTTTTGGACTTCTCTAACTTTTCAAGACATTCTAGGACTGGTGGGCGCTTATCTTTTTTACTTTTGGGAGACTTCTCGTCAACTTTCAGGGTACAAGATTCAGTGGCAGATAAAGCAGTTTTCAAAGAGGGATCCTTTGCCATCTCAGAAGTATCAAAAGAGATTTCCATTTCCGGAGGACCAGTTTCCTCTAATTGCCCTTTTTGATTTTGGGACTCTAAGACTGATACTGAACTATCGGCATCTTTCCCTACAGGGACCACTTCCTTCTCAAGATCACCTATTTTCATATTCGTTATGACAGAATTTAAGGACTCTGCTCCATTTCCCTCCATGATGACACTTCTGTCTTTAGAGGGGCTACAGCTATCTTCTTTTGTATCATAAAACCTTGTCTCCATTTGTTCTGTCTTAAAATTTGCAGTTACCTTTTCATCACTAACTTCTCCATTTACCAGTTGTTTCCCTTCATGACCCATAATAGTGATTGTAGAGATCCTTTTACAAGTCTCTTCCTCTTGTTTTATTTCATCTTTCAAAAACTCTTTTGTTGGAGTAACTGATTTACACAAAGGTCCTTTGATTGGACTGTCAAAATCATCACTCAGTTTAATTTCTCGTTTTTTTAGTGGTATCTTGGCCTGCTGATCATTTTTAATTTTCTCGGTTTCTTCAGTAGACTTCTCAGTGATTTCTTGAGAAGATCGAACATTGCCACCAAACTCCAGCCTCTCTGGCTCTAGCTTCTCCATGCTCCCTTTGATATCTTTAGGATCTGCTCTAAATTCCTTTACTTCAACTTTAGTGGGTTTGACATTTTCCTTGAAGGAATCACTTTCCTCTTTGATAATCCTTTTTTCCTCACTTTCTGGCAAAGGTTTTTCTAGCTTGACTATGACTGGCAGTTTGATAAGTTCCTTTTCATCTTCTTTTTCTATTTTCACAGTAGCCTCTTCCAGAGCACTGGGTGTAGAACAGTTTTCTGAATTTACTGGCTGCTCTTCACCTTTCATCTTTTCATTTTCCTTCTGTTCCTCTAAAAATCAGGAAAAATTTTACATAAATCTAAGCATTCAAGATTATAAAATATAAAAGGCTAAATATAATAGATATTCCCATCTAAAATTTCCCTCTTAAAAGAGGTGGCTTGTCAATGGACATTTGACCAAAAAAGAAACATAAAACAAAAAACAAAATACCCCAAATCTGACAGTGAAGGAAATTACCAAACCTGAAGCAAAGCTTCTAAATATTAAAAAATGGTTATTCAGAAAGATTCATGTTTCTGCTTTATACTTTTAGCTTCAGTGTTCTCAATGGAATGCAAATGTTTATACAGTTCAAATAATTTATTCAAGCTCAAGTGATGGCTCAAAAATGTGAACTAAAAATACTACATAAAACATTTCCAAAAAACCGTATTTGTTTTAAAAACTGACAAATGTTCTTCCTTGCAAGTCACTGAGCACTTCATTTCATTGAGGTAATTGTGAGCGTGGCAGTGGAAAAATGTTTGTTTTATGCTTCATACGGTTTATAAAAATAACACAATTCTGTACAGAAAATGAAACATATGCCCACAAAGAGAATAAAAGGTCCACAATCCTAATACCCAGAGGCAACCACTATTACTATTTTACATTACTTCATTCTAGTCTTGTATATTTTTGACAAAGTTTCAGGATCATGTTGCCCCATTTTTTTCATTGAAACACTATCACTTTCTTATGATATTTAATGCTTTTTAAGAAATCAGACTTATATAACGGTCCTCAATGTGGCTGTATTACAATTTACTTTATCAAATGCCATTGGTGAACATTTCAGAAGTTAGTATGTTACCAACTATGTATGTTTATCATCAATTCCTCTTTTTACCTTAATTGGCTATGTATTTCCAACTTTTATGGAGTACCTAACAGTGCAAAAACCATATTGGGAAATAGCATCATCTTTGTGAATTTTTTTTTTTGCATTTTTAAAAAATTTTTATTTTACTTTAAGTAGGCTCCATGCCCAGTGTGGAGCCCAATGTGTGGCTTGAACTCACAACCCTGAGATCTAAGACCTGAGCTGAGATCAAGAGTTGCATGTTTAACCAACTGAGCCACCCAGGCACCCCAACAGCATTATCTTTGAACGGGATTACACAGATTGCACAGACAATGTAAACTAGTGCTCAGAGAATCTGAGCAGAGTGTTTTCACAGAATTCTTCAAATACTAATTTTATCTCTATTTCCCATCACTTCACCCTATCCTCTTAACTGAAAAAGCTCAGCTCTAAATGGAGTTTTACCAAAGTAGTAATTTTACAAAAAATTTTGCACACATTATGCCAAATTGATAAACCAGAGTTACAATGTATTTCATAGGTATAAAACAGAATAAAATAGAAGGGAGGTGAAGTAGGACATGTTATTTTTTTTTTTTTTAAAGATTTTTATTTATTTGACAGAGAGAGACACAGTGAGAGAGGGAACACAAGCAAGGGGAGTGGGGGAGGGAGAAGCAGGCTTCCTGCCGAGCCAGGAGCCCAATGTGGGGCTCGATCCCAGGACCCTGGGATCATGACCTGAGGCAAAGGCAGACGCTTAACGACTGAGCCACCCAGGCGCCCCGTAGGACATGTTTTTGAAAATAATAATGCAATATCTTTAAAAGAGTAAACATTTAAATTATAAACCACTATTTCTTTTACTTCATGTTGCAAATACACCATTCAAGGACCACTAAGAACCATTCAGAACCTGAAACAAAGGATTAGTATTGCTTTTCACTCTTCACACTGCTGTGATTTCATATATGCATGCCACCAAGGAAATTAAAGACATGACACTAATGATCCGATCTATGTGTCTTCCTCCCACTGAAAAAACAGCCTTAGTAAATTCCTGATTATTGAACTTGGTTAGCCTATTAGGAAATCTAATTAAATGAACATCTTGGTTAACAATTAAAATACTGATTACCATTTTTAAAAATAACTTCAACCTAATACTAAGGGTTTACTAAACACAATTTAATAATTCTTCTGTATGTTTTGGCTCAGAAAACAACTCAAGGACCTCACTATGGCTCTGACCTGAGGTAAAATGACACTATGTTTTCATTTGGCAATGGTGAATGAGAAAGATCTCTTCAGTGATTTTAACTGATTCCAATTTGGTAACAACATGGCAAAATAAATTGAGGAATAATATTAGGTTCAAGGCTCCCAGGCTCATGAATCCTAATTCACCTAGTGAATTCCGCATATGTGTCAAACTATCTGATCTTCATTTCCTCATCTACAAATAAGACAGTTGGAGTAAGTGAGCTGAAAAATTACACTTCGCTTATATTTCTCCTAACCCCAAAATGTTAAATTCTTGGTATTTTTGTGTTTGGCTCAATTCCTTTCAGATGTGAAAACATTTATTACTCTAGCTCCCCTAGATTACATAGATGTGTCCCTAAAACTGCAAAGAAAACAGAACCATGACAGAAAATGAGCCTTCAAGCACAATCACAACTGGTTAAAAAGATCATTCAGTTACATAGGCATTTTCCCAAAGTTTCCTTAAAAAGAAACTGTATGTAAAAGAAATGCAAATGATTTAAGAGACATAAAATTTGAAGAAACAAAACTTAAGGTAAAACTCTTCAAAACTCCAATGGAGCAGCAACACTGCTTGGCAAACTTGAGGCAATTCAAGAGAAGTATTATCTACCATCGGTTTTTAAAGCAGATTCATTCATTTACTCAACAAATATTTACTGATCACTTATTATGTGCTTTCCCAACCAGCCCAACCACAGTCACTACGGAATAAAACACTGAATGTCCTATAAAAGTGAACTGTACAGGACATCACTAGGTTTCTATCCAGTACAGACATACCTCCTTTTATTGGGCTTCACTTTATTGTGCTTTGCAGATATCACATTTTGTTCAAATTCAAAGTCTGTGGCTAACTTGCATCGAGCAAGTCTATTGGCACCATTTTTCTAAAAGCATTTGCTCACTTCATATTTCTGTCACATTTTGGTAATTCTCATAATATTTCAAGGTTTTTCATTATATTGTATTTGTTATAGTAATCTGTGATCAGTGATCATTTGATGTTACTATTACAATTGCTTTGGGGCTCCATGAACCACACGCATTTAAGATGGTCAACGTAATTGTTAAGTGTGTGTGTTCTGACTGCTCCACCAACTGAGCATCCCCCTCTCTCTCCTTCTCCTTGGACCGTCCTATTCCCTGAGACACAACAATACTGAAATCAGGCCAGCTAATAACCTTAAAACAGTCATTATGTGTTCCAGCAAAAGGAAAAGTTGCACATCCCTCCAATTAAATCAAAAGTTAGAAATGATTAAGCTTAGTAAGGCATGTCAAAAGCCCAAACAGGTCAACAACCAGGGCTCTTGCAACAAATAGCTGGCCAACTTGTGAATGCAAAGGAAAAGTCCTTGAAAGAAATTTAAAAAGTGCCACTCCAGTGAACACATGAATTATTTAAAAAACAAAAAATTAACAGCCTTATTGCTGATATGCAGAAAGTTTCAATGGTCTGGAGCGAAGATGGAAACCAATATTCCCTTAATCCAAAGCCTAATCCACAGCAAGGCCCTAACTTTCTTCAATTCCATAAAGGCTGAGAGAGAGTAAAGAAGCTGCAGAAGAAAACCTTAGAGCTTACAGAGGCTGGTTTATGAGGTTTAAGGAAAGAAGCTGCGGAACATAACATAAAAGTGCAAGGTGAAGCCGCAAGTGCTGATGCAGAAGCGGCAGCAAGTTCTCCAGAAGACATAGCTAAGACAATTCGTGAAGGGGGCTACACCAAACAACAGATGTTCAGTGCAGATCAAATAGGCCTTCTCATGGAAGAAAATGCCATCTAGGACTTCCATAGCTAGAAAGAAGTCAATGCCAGGCTTCAAAGCTTCAAAGGACAGGCTGACTCTCTTGTTAGGGGTTAATATAACTGATAACTTGAAGTTGAAGCCAAAGCTCATCTACCATTCTGAGAATCCCAGGGCACATAAGAATTATGCTAGATCTACTCTGCCTGTGCTCCATGAGGGGAACAACAAAGCCTGGATGACAGCATGTCTGTTTACAACAGGGTTTCCTGAATATTTTAAGCCCACTATTGAGACCAACTGCTCAGAAAAAAAGATTCCTTTCAAAATACTGCTGCTCATTGACAGTGCACCTGGTCACCCAAGAGCTCTGATGGAGATGGACAAGATGGATGTTGTTTTCATGCTTGCTAATACAACATCCATTCTGCAGCCCATTTTCAAGTCTTACTATTTAAGAAATAGATTTCAGGGCGCCTGGGTGGGCTCAGTTGGTTAAGTGACTGCCTTCGGCTCAGGTCATGATCCCGGAGTCCCGGGGTCAAGTCCCGCATCAGGATCCCTGCTCAGCGAGGAGCCTGCTTCTCCCTCTGACCCTCTCCCCTCTCATGTACTCTCTCTCTCTCTCATTCTCGCTCTCTCAAATAAATAAATCTTAAAAAAAAAAAAAAAAGAAATACATTTCATAAGGCTATAGCTGCCATAGATACTGATTCCTCGGATGGATGTAAGCAAAGAAAACTGAAAACCTTCTGAAAAGGATTTACTATTCTAGATGCCATGAAGAACATCTATGACTCATAGGAAAAAGCCAAAATATCAACATGAACAGGAGTGTGGAAGAAGTTGGTTTCAGCCCTCAGGGATGACCTCATGGGGTTCAAGACTTCAGTGGAGGCAATAATTGCAGATGTCTTAGAAATAGCAAGAAAACTAGAATTACAAGTGGAGCCTGAAGATGGGACTGAACTGCTGTAATCTCATGATAAAACTTGAACAGATGAGGAGTGGCTTCTTATGGATGAGCAAAGAAAGTGGTTTCTTGAGATGGAAACTACTCCTGGTGAAGATGCTGTGAAGATGATTGAAATGACAGAAAGGATTTAGAATATTACATAAACTAAATTGATAAAGCAGTGGCAGAGTTTAAGATGATTGACTCCAATTCTGAAAGAAGTTCTACTGA